TAAATTTACGTAAATCAATCTATTACCCACAGCATGTTTTATGATTTATATTCTCTGCAGCTGTGAATGAACGTGAATTTATTTGGCACTATGTCTCATTCTTATATCCTATTTTCATTAAGCTTATTAAAAAAACGTAGTCTACACAAGATAATGCTATATCATTCTCCAGCATAGAGAGGTGGGGTCATTCCATACAAGTGAGCTGTAAAAACATAAAAATCTGACTATAATTACTTGCTTATGACATTATGATGCCATCCCTGAAGGGCAACATCTGCCTTTCCTTTTCAAGCATACTCAACCATTTATTCAATCCTTCAATTTTTTCTTCCTCAAAACATTGAAGGTGTGCTATTGGCTTTTTGTACAGTACAAAGATGACCTATGTGACCACACCGGGATCAGTGGGTTATATTAAAGAGAAAGGTGTTTATGCAGCATATGTAAAGGTAAGAATTTCAGAGCAAATGAGTCTCCATCCCTCCTGTGGCTACAATAGAATTCTCACAGCTCAGAAAAACTGTGTAGTGTGAGTGCAGTGGTAGTACCACACCTTTTTTCTCTTCAGATTATTATAAATATAATGTAAAAGTCATCACATTTGTAGCTGGTCTGAGAATCTCAAAGTCTCTAGCCACCACAAGGTGGTATATGTATCCTGTAAAAGGGAAACACTTCTGTAAAAGGGTGAAAAGAGAATTCTAGCACTGAAAGTTGTCATTTGACAGGGCAGGTCCTTCCTGCACCTTAGCTCATCCATAAAAGCAAGTATTTCTTGTTGTCTTGGCTACTTCAGCAAGACTAGAAAAATAATAAGTTAGTTTTGTTCTGCAGAGGATATGGTTCTTGCATTTTAGGAGAAATAACAACTAAGCTGACTTTTCAGACAGTAATTTAGGAACCCAGGACTTAATAGTCAACTCATTTAGAAAAGCCCAAGCATCGTTATACAACTGATGAATTTTAGATACACTGATCAATGTGTGTCTGTGATGCATTCTTTTCTCTGGCTAAATCAGTAAGTGACATGCCATTTCAACTCTCATTATGGAATTTGGGTTTTTAAGTTGTTAAGACACACAGGCAGGGTCTACACTGCCCTAAGCAGCACAGATCAATGCAGCAGCTAGAGCGTTCCTTGACCTAACTTGCTAAGCCACATTGCCAGACAGCTTCAGCACAGTGTACCAACCTTGGTTCAACAGCCAACCTTATTCAACCTACCCAACATGTTCATCTAATCTCACAGAATGCAATTTTAGGTCCTTTGAGAAAGACTCAGCAGCTAACATGTCTGTTCAGCATAAACCACGTGATGGCACTAGAAGACCAGACAAAATATATGGTTCTAAATTGGGCTTGGCACACAGGTAGATACATGCTTTAGCTACCTTCGAAAGTTAAGCTTGCTCCAGCTTGTCTTAGCACAGTGTTTCTTTCCAAATAGGATGGCTAGGAGTTTGGGCCAAACCCTGAATTCAAAATATAGTCATAATTAGTCTTGTCTTTTGTCTCTGGGGATCCCTGATATTCACCAATGTCAAAATCCACGTAAAGCTTCTCAGAACTATCAGAGCATGCCAAAGCCTGTTTTCTCACAAGCTGAATTAGATATGCCTGGGCCTAGTATGAAGGATGTCCTTGGAAGTTTCGATTCCCATGGCAGTGTGGAACTCCACATAGTGTGAAGTTTAGAAAAGGTTTCCTTTTGGAACATGAACTTTTGATGTTCCTGAGAAGCAGCAGCTGTATGGTGATACAGAAACACAGAAATTAAATGGTTCAGCTTAAGATTCTGTCTGTATCAATTAATCATCTGAATGGCACTCCCCAAGATTTGGCACAAACCTAAGCAGAAACATCACACTTCTTAGTAACATAATTTCATTCTATAAACCAGACCAGGTTTTTCAGTGGCTAAGTGCATCTCTTCACTCTAATTCACTTGAGTCTCCAGTACAAAAAATGCTTGGACCATTTGACTGTTGTTCATGTAGCAACCTCCCAAAAGCAGCTAAACCTGAAAAAATGTAGACACAAAAAATTTTTTAAATTCTATTTCCTTACATTTAGAAAGATCATATCTTTTTTTTTTTTCTCCAGACAGCTTCCTATAAACTCAAAAGCTATTTTAATGTAATTATATTTAATCAAATTATGATTTTCATTTGCTGGAAGTACAGGCAACAATATAATAAGAGAGAAACTGATTCACAGTGGAAAATACACTGCAAGTGTCACTTTCTCTACATATTATAGAGTTAGTACAGTAAATCCCGTATAAATCATTGAATATGTCAATTGATATCTTCTACTTGACATCAGATTCTTACAAACAGCATTAATTCTTACAAAAGCTACTCATTGTTTCAAGAAGTTTCATACAATGGTCTGGTTTTATTCACCTTGGAAAAAAAAAAGCCTGCTTTTATAACTGAAGGAAGGAAAGAAGGAAGGAAAGAAGGAAAGAAAGAAATGCATTAAGCAATTGTAGAAGTAAACCAACCCAACTGGGGCACCGCGACCAAAGCAAGCCCTGTAATAGTATAATGACCTTTAATGAGTGTCTGGGGAAACAATACAGTCCCAGCATAAAAGACAAAGGGCAAAACCCATCACGGCTCCACTGACACTAATTCAAAATGATTTTCAGAACAACTAAAGAATGTAAGAGAGGTAATCTGATCCACCAATCTGACCTCACTTTGATTCTGGGGCCCTGCTGCTGCCATTTCTAATTGTCAAACACTCCACATTTCACATCTGCTCATATTTAATGAAAAGCTGACTCTCACCGCCATTCTTTGAGTTAACTAGCTCTGTCAAGACGGGCATCATACGACCCCTGTGCACTGCAAAGAAAACACACTGATTTCTATTGAAGCCTTGCCAGCGAAACGTTGCAAGTGTGTGTGTGTATATATGTATTAATTGGAAAAGAAAGGTTTATGTTGCTTTGCAAAGAGTGTGAATTGGTATTGATTTTCGTACTTATTATTAACAGTCAAAGGTGACTAGTCTCACAAGGGGAAGAGTGAGATCTCTTTTGATTTGATCAAGTGATGAAGGGGGGAAAAGGCCCTTGAAAGATAGGATGCTAAAATCCTCAAAGCTGTCAATATCACTTATCCTTCAAAATGCAACATAGATCTAACGTGTTTCCCAACAGTATTGTTTCTGGTGGCAATAATATGATTATTGTGGAGGTTTTTGGCTCAGCAGGCAACACAATCAAAAATGTTTACTTTATCTGTCTCTGTAGAGTCTTAAGTGAACTTGAAAGCTATGGTAAACCTACAAATTACGGTTTTTCTTTCCTTGCCAAAGAGTGCTAATGGCAGAAATTTTACCCATTTGTAGGGGACATATTCATTTAGCCAGGTCTGGTTGCTGTTAACACCAGTGCCGGGGCTCAACCACATACTCTCTGTAGCAGTCTGTATTAATGCAAACTATACCAGGCACTGTGTTGCTGAGGCTGTTAGGCTGAGTAAGTAACGCTGCCTGCAGTAATTCTCAGCCCAGGAAGGTTTCTTATTCACTTTTCTTAACAAAATATGTTTTGCTATGTTTTTCTCTTTAAAGGATAAAAACTTCTGTAACTTAGAATAGGACTTAAAACTGGGAACCATCTCCCTTGAGGTGATGCATGAGTTGCAACCAAGTAGATAAAAAGGACATTCAGAGTGCTTATACATATATACAGAGAGAAGATTTCTGTTACAGTCTCCAAGAAATCCTATTAGAATTGGTTTAATTGACAGTCTTTGGGCAAAAAATGCTAACAAAAATCATAGTATTGTTATATACTCCACATTTGTGTCTGGAAAAATAGTTCAAATGTCAAAATAATTAAAGCAAAGTCATTCACCACTTGGACTATATATTGCAATACACATATGGTATCAAAAGGCAACCAGATGCGTAATCTAACAACTACATTACACTCTTAGTAGCGGAAGACATTTTTATCTGTGATGACTTGTAATGTAAAGCGGACATGCTCCCTGATCAAAACTCCTAATACTCCTTACAGATGTATATGAGTAATTTTATATTTTTTCTTTGCCATTTGGGTAGGGAAATGAAAACACTTCCTGTCCCAAGACATAGTTTTGCCTGTTATGAATGTTTAAAGAGAATAAAAAACCGACACCACCCCCCTCCCCCCAATTTTATTTAACAATCTTCCTTAATTGTTGACATCACACTGATAAAGGAAGCTTTGGAATCCCTACCACTTGCCTAAAGAATTAAGGGCAATGCAAAATTGTTCTAACTTCTTTATCTTCTCCCTCTCAGCCCTGATCTTCCAAAAGAACTTTTGGGGCATACTCCAGAATGGTACTATCCTATGGGACAAATTCTACAGTTAATTTCAAAAAGTTTGCGTCAGGCTAGTCCTTCTAAAAAGGCACTACAGAAAGTACAACAATTTTTACTAAGATTTTTGCAGGTGGAAGGTCCTGCCTTATTGAGAATGAAGGGTTACAAACAAAACTAATAATGGTAGCAGTAAAGAATAGAATTCCAGCTACTACAGTTCAGCTCCTAATTGTATCCTGTGTATTTATTCACCGCCTATTGTATGCTACTCTAGTGCCAACACTATTAAAGCTGTCCACTTAGCAGCAGTCATAGATTTAGACACAGGCCTGTTCCTCCACTGAAACGCTTATTCTTTAATTAATGACAATTTATATTGTATGAATTAAATAAAAACGATGTCACCAAACTGCACTACTTAGGTCCTGCATGCTATTGCAAGAGCATGCTTCGTAAAGAGCACATAAAGCAAAATAATGAATTACATTTGTTGTATTAAAAATAAATTAAAATGGAAATATAAATACAGAGCTGTATTAAAATTTGGGTTTGACTTTTTAAAAAAGCATCAGCCCAGTAAAACTCACAGAACTACAATGTACGACACAAGACGGGGATGATACCACAGACACCACAGACATGGAACAGCATGTGTTGGTGTTAAAACTTACAGGCACGTAAACTGGTGGAGCAATCATTAACAGAGACAGAAGAAAGTGGGAAGGCTCTCTCAAGGGTGTCCATGTTACTATGTACACTGCCTGACATGCAAGAGCAGTCACGCTCAGAGCGTCCGCAATCAAAACAACATGCCAGTTTCATTCTCTTGTAGATGGACATCTTGGCTATAACCATGTGTTGGATGGGAGGAGAGGAAGAGCAGCAGGTTAATGGCAAGGTTATATATATAACAAGGCAGCTGGAAGGTAATTTAAGGGATTTAATACAGGCCTTAGTTTATGTTAACAGTCTTGACCCAGGAAAAAAAAATGCAATAAGATTATTGATAACACTTTGGCTGTACATTAAAAGTAGGGCAAAAGATAAATTGCTCTTTATTTCTGTTCAGTCTTATAGGGTGACCGCAGACATGGAGAAGAATTACTGTTTACAGTCAAGCGTTTGGATCAAAAAAGAACATAGTAAAAGCAGAGAATCCTAAGAATATACTTTCCCTCGGCACAATTAATACTACTGGGCTAAAATGAAAAGAAAAATCTAAAGTTGCTCATCCATTAGATATTTTTGGCCTATCCTGCTTCCTGTAAAAATCAAAGACTTTTATATATCTATATATATATGTATGTACACACACACACTCACATATATATTCTTACATACACACGCTCACACACACATATACATTATACACATACATATATATACATATATAAAAATATATTTATTCTTAAACATATGCTAATCATTTCTCTGTATTAAACTGTGCCAGGGAACTCCTTTATTGCAATAAATTACACATTACTAGAGTTACAAGATGTTCATAAAATTTTCTGAAAAATTTACTTCGTTTAC